GGCCATAAAGTTCCCTTTGTTATCATTAGAAGAGGAGTCATCACTCGAGGTTGACTCACTTTCACTATCACTCCATTTGGTCTTCATAGCTCTCCTATTTTCCTTGGGCATATCTTTCTTGGTTCGATTTGGGCATTCTGAAGCAATATGTCTAAATCCTTGACATTCAAAACATCGAAAGCCTTGCCCCTTTCTCTTAGCCTCTTGTCGAGAGCTTCTTCTCCCTCTTTATCTTCCCTTCTTAGGAGTAGTAGGTTTACTAGGTTTTCCAATCAAATTTGAAAACTCTACATTGCTAGCCTTGAAGTATTTTTTGAACTTCTATGCACTCGAGGCTAGGTCCTCCCCTCCTAATTGGGGTGGCTCGGATTTACCTCCCTCTTGTTTCATTAGGCTCATGGAAATACCTTTTTCTTTCTTTAGGGATAGAAGGTTTATCTCAAAAGTTAATATCAACCCAATTAGGTCTTCAACCGACACCAACTCCATGTGAACACTCATTTCCAAGGATATGACCTTAGTATGAAACCTCTCGAGTTAGAGATCTCAAGATTTTTCACTTGATGCCCACATCATCAACTTTGGTACCAAATGAAAAAGATGAATTTATAATGTCGTACAATTAGCATAAAATGCACTAAATGTTTCATCATTTTTTATGCTCAAGGTCTCAAACTGAGATGTGTTCCATTGGAGTCCAAACATCTTCATTATGAAACTCCCTTCGCAGGAAATAACCAAGATGTCACATGTTTTTTTGGAAGTCTCACATTAGCAATCCTCCAAAACTTATTTGGTGTCACGACATTTAATATCGCATTTAAGCCTTTAGAGTTTCACCCCGCCGATTTTATCTTGGTCTTTGGCCTAGTTTTTGTTGATTTCACTTCAACCACTGCTTCACCACCTTCTAATTGTGTGGTGGTGGTGGTGGGAGGGCTCCAACCTTCTTGTACTGTCAACCATACTCTCTTATCAATTGATTTAAGAAATACTCTCATGCGAGCTATCCAATAAGCAAAGTTAGAACCATCAAAGAGAGGTGGTCGCGCAATTGAGCCTCCTTTTTTTTTTTTAGAGAACCCATTTGATAGTAACTAGTAACGACAATAGATCTCTTGAAGGTAAACTAGGCATGTAAGAAAAAATAAGAAATGCCTACAAGTGTCTATGGGCTCAGGGCAACCACGCTCTAATACAAATTGTTGTTACGGGAAGGGGAACTCAATCTAGATCTTTCCTCACGATTACATACATGGAGCTATAGACACTTTACATAGAATTGGATGAAATAATTATCAATAAAAACCTAAACGACAACAATTACCTCTTCCCACAAAATTATAGCAATTAATGTGAGAACCTCTTTAGTCACAACAACCCATTTCACACATGGCGATTGATTTTAATTAATCTTCAATTAATTTGCTCACAATCAATCTCACATCAATCCTAAATACCAAACCCAAATTACATAATTATGTATAGATAGATAGTCAAACAATCATTTCAACAAACACATAGTGTGTATGTGTGCTAACAATCACAAGTGTATACGATAAACAATAAATAACACAAGTGATTTGTTAATGCAAAAAACTCTCTTTGGAAAAAACCACGGGGAACCACTCTTGGTTCACCAAAATCTAATTCACTACTCACTGAGTCAACATACAAATACTTAAGTCTTATACCTTAACCAATCCCATAGCTAGATGTTCTTTTCCTTGTTGTCTCTCCACCAAGCACCCTTCTTTGACGTCTAGCATAACGTCACTTTGACCTCCTAACTAGGCCTCGAGCAACTATGGGAACACCAACGATTACCGGTATGCACACATCAATGGGTTTGGCAAAATCTTCAACTCCAAGTTATGAGGTTTGGTAGAATCCCTAGTTGTAGCCTTTGGGTTTAGGGATCTAAGTTAGTGGGGAAAGATATCAAGGTAGAAGATGTGTTTTTTCTCTTAAAAATTTCAAAAGAGGCTTAATTTAGCTGTTAGAAAGGCTCTCTCTATTTATAAGCCCGGAATAAAAGTAGTCTTAGTAAATAAGAAAACTCATATTCGTGAACGACCACTTGATCGGTGGGAAAGCGATTATAGGGCGGTTGGCACTAGAATGAAAATCGTGTTTCGCACCAATTCAAAAGCATACACCGCTCGAGTTAGCTCATAGAGACCGCGCTAGTGAAGGTTAGCGAGCATAAGGTGGTCTCTACTGATTTTTTAAGCCTAAGACTAAGCAAAAAACTTGTCTTCTAGAGCACTAAAGGGTATTTCTTAAGAGAGGTCCGCTAATGACTCAAACTTACATTTGAAATACAAATCGGTTTAGAAAATATTTTTATTTAAAATCTCCTCAGAGTCATACACGAATTATTTCCTAATTCTATTTGAACTCTAATCCTCCTAAGTCTATTAAACCAATGGATCATCTTAAGTATCTAGGTCATTACCTTTGTCTTAAACTTGAAGGTGCAACCGAAGTATCATGATATAGCTTTGAAACTTGATCACCACCCTTTAATGACGCTTGCAGATCTTCAATCTTTATAGCATCATGGCAATGGACTCAACAAATTTAGTCAATTACAAATGCGTATCTAACTGACTATTTGGGAGCTTATGAGAGTTATTTTTATTTATTCATGGAACTGTACTTAAGTACTCTATTATTTTTCTTTGTTGGTGGGTTTTTTTTTTTTTGTGATTCACTTCTAGTCTGATCATGTGCTTTGATGCTTTATTATTTTAGACTTGGAGTTATATATCATGTTTGTTCTTTGCTTTATGACTTTTTGTCTATTCTTGCTAGTTGAATTGTCATGATGTCTCTTTGTTATACCATGTTTTTACCTTGCCCATCTTGATATGTCATTAGTTTGGCACTTTATGACAAAATGGAGAGAATTTTTGGGTAATATGGGAAAAATAATTTGTTTGCTAGCATGAGTTAGTGCATGAGCATAGAGTAAGCGAGAGTTTGTTCTAATACTCAGGAGGAGTACATACACAAACTTCACATGAAGTCATCTTGTGAACACCTTCTAAGGGGGAGAACTTGTTGTGCATTATTATTGCTATATTCATAGGTTCTCAAGCTTATTGGGCCAGTATTTTTTACACATGTTACATACTTGCACTTGCATGGTGATAACATGAAAATGCTCTACGCTTCTCTTGGTGCTTACTATACCTATGATTATGCTATGTCTTTCATACATATTTTCACGAAACAGAGGGAGATATGCAATGGACTTCTCTTACGATTATATACGTAGGTTGCACAACACTACCTAGAGGGAGGTGACTAGGTTAATTAAAAATTATATTCAACAAATACCAATTTTTAACCTACATCTACCACAATTATCTCGTCACACAATGATATGAACGTTAAGTGTGAGAACCCCTTCTCAACCACAATGACCCCATGAACCCATGAAAATTAGTGTATTGATTTTATTAATTAATCATTTAACACTCAATCTCTCATAGGGATCCCAACCAAGGCACCAAACCCAATTAAGAAACACATAGTGCTCGTGTGTGCATTAAATCACAAGTGTATACGAAAGGCAATAAATGACACAAGTGATTTGTTGTCGTTGAAATTCTCCTCAGGAAAATCACAAAAAACCACTCGAGATTCACTAAAACCTAATTCACTATCCTAAGTTTAATTTACAAGTACGTAGGTCTCATACCTTAACCAATATCATGGTTAAACACTCATTTCCTTCAATAAACCCTTCACGAAACTCCCTCTTCGGCGTCTTAGATAGTTTCATTTGAATTCCCCACTGCACAGTTCGTTTAGGCCTCGAGGATTCACATGACGCACCCACAAATCTCGATATGCACACTTGCCAATGGGTATGGTTCCACCAAACAAGGTCTTCTTTTCCAATGTGAGTTTTGATAAAAATCATTAGATGGTTGCTTTTAGATTTAGGGATTTAGAGTTGTGGTTCTAGATCTCAAGTGTAAGATAGGCTGAATTTATTGTCAAGAGGCTTATCCTAGGCATGGGGAGGCATCCCTCTATTTATAGGCTCGAAATAGAGTTATTCTTTGAGACCAAGAAAACATAAATTCACAAACGACTGCTTGAGCAATGCATGGGAGGGCAGTGGTCACTAGAATGAAAAAAAAATTTCAAACCAACTTGGGAGAGCAAAACCACTCGAGCAACACAAAGGGTGATCCTTGCTACTCCTTCATTAGCGTTTACCTAATTTTTTTCCTAAGTCTTTGAAAGACCACTCTAGTGAACACTAGTGAACATAGGACGACACATACTATTTTTTTAAACTTAAAACCAAGCAAAAAATTTATACTTTTGAATATTAAAAGGAGTTGCTCAAGAGACGTTCGCTAATGGCTCAAACTATGTTTTTGAAATACAAAAGACATTTAGAAAAAAAAAAATTGAAGAACAACTAGAAGCTATACACGAATCAATTATCAATTCCATTTTAACACTAATCCTCCTAAGTTCGATAAATTAAACCAATGGAACATCTTAAGTCTCTAGGGTTATTACCTTTGTTTTAAGCATGAGAGTGCATATGGAAAGTTTAATTGATGTAGCTTGAAACATTATCTCCTCCATTCCATTTTGACACTTTCAGATCTTTATCGTTGTAACATCATGACGATGAAATAGGTAGAAATTTAAACGAAGTTCACGAAATTTGTCAATTACAAAACATGATTTACCATGGTTGACATATTTCACCCGCACCTGACCCGTTTATTAAATAGCTCTAATAGGTCCACCCGTTTTTTACCGGCACCGTTAAGGTCTAATCCAAACGCACTTAACTCTGTATCAATTCACGTCAGTTAATTATGTAATGTCATAGTTTGACAATTTTATACTACAAAGGAAACAAAAACTCTTAACATCGCGGAATACTATCCAAGCAGCTACCAATTATTGAATACAAGAGAGGTGCCAAATGGTACCTGGACACTGGCAAACAAACCTCACAATTCCAATCTATTTCTATCAAGGATAACCATACAAAGGCCTATTTCTGCCAAAAGTTATGAACGGAAGATGTCTTACGACATCTCAAATTCTAGTGTAATTCTGTTAAAATCAGTAAAGGGGGAAGGTACAAAGACTTTATTGACTCTGGACTGTTATCAATCCTACGGTAAAAATCCATTGCAGCTCTTCTTCTAAACTCTTACAAAGCTGTTTACATGCGAATATCAAATACTCTAATATCAAAAAACAGTTTTCATCATAGACTTTCAACTTGTTACAAACCATTGCAAGTATTAGGTCTCCGTAAACATCGGATTCACATAAGCTTGTGGTATCAACAGGAATGAGTGAAATAGGATGAGTATTTCATATCAATCATCAGATCGTGATGCTAAGTAAGACCTGAGAATGTACTTATACTTGTCCGGGCTGTCCCACCACGTAGGAGTATTAATAATTGCACGTTCCAACCAATATGGATCGACCTCCTTTTTCCTTGTCAGCCTCTGGTAGAACTTCCCCCACTTGTACATGGTACGCTTTAAACGAACACTCTTCTGTGCTCCAAATAGAAACTTGATGTAGTCTTTTGCAAGCCGAGTTATCTCCTCACCCTCAATTATGTAAATATACTGAAATGAAGCCAATATGCTAAACATGTTAATTCATAGAGAAAGGAGTTAAAAGAAAGAACCATTGGAAGGTCACCACTTATTTCTGGTGCTTATTATCACGTGACCCATACGATTTTCCTATTTCCAATCTTTATGAATACTTAATGGATGTAATAGATCAAACATCTACTGCCTAAATATCAGTTTACCACTGAGGGGTTTAAGATGGAGATCCACTATCTCCCCATCTTTTTCTACTTGTGATGGATGTGTTGTCAAGACTAATCCACAGATAAGTCTAGGAGAGGAGGCTGGAAGGTATTAAAATACATAATCGAAGTCCTTCATCTCACTTGTTCTTTGCAGAGGACTCTCATTTTTCTTAAAGCAAAAGCTAGGAAGGGAACCCAGTTGAGGAGAGTGCTAGAGAAATTCAGTTTTGTATCAGGCAACAATAAATTTCCAAAAGTAGGGTATTATGTTCTCAAGTAATGTGAGCAAATATCTAAGATGGGAGATCTGCCAATATTATGAATATGCAGCAGTTGCCTAAGACGGTGAAGTATTTTGGCATTCCTTCTTTCTGGTATTGTTCCTAATCAGAAACTTTTGGTGATTGAAAGAATTGAAAAGAAGCTGCAAGGTTGGAAACAAAATCTGCTTTCTCAAGCACAGAGGGAAGGAGGTTTTAATGAAGGCAGTCGTTCAAGCTCTTCCTACCTATGCGATATCCTGTGTGTTCTTTTCTCTACGTCTTTGCAAAAAGATCAATAAGCTCATTAGAAGGTTTTGGTGGGGCACCAATGAGGAACGTAGGAAGATCCATTGGAAAAATTGGGATAAAATGACTGAAGAAGCCAAAAGGACAGGAGGAATGGGGTTTAAAGATTTCGAGTGCTTTAATACAGTTCTATTAGCTAAGCAAAGCTGGCGATTGCTCAAGTATCCAAATTCATTTTGGGCTAGAATGATGAAAGTTAATATATTATCCTAGGGAAGACTTTATGAATGAAATGATAGGACCTAGACCCTCGTGGACGTGGTCAAAGGGGGAGGAAGCTACTAGATAAGGGTTTGATCTGGCAGATGAACAGGGGAGAGGATGTCCTTCCTTTGGAAAATAAGTGGATTCCCTTTTCCCCCAGAGTTTATAAACCAATCTACTGCTGAGTGGAAAGTGGATATACAGAGGTGCTGGGTAAAAAGGGAGGATTGGAAGGCAATTATAAAGATCCCGGTTGCAAAAAGTCATGGGAAAGATAAGAGGAACTGGGCTCTAAATTCAAATGATAAGTATACATTATGTTGGAGTTATAGTAGCCTAGGTTATTAGGGTTTATTAGAGTTTTTTCCCTTTTTACATTTTTATCCTTATTGTGACTTTTATTGGCTATATATATGGGGACTCTACACTTAGTTTGTATTCCTTTCACTTACATCTATCTCAAGTTGGTATCAGAGCTATACCTTAACCCTAACTCTAGCCTCCACCGTAATTCTTCCAGCATACCTCCAATCACTAGCCGACCAACAAGTCTGCACAGCACCTCCACCATAATCCTTCCAGCAACCAAACAAAACAGCAACCAGTAACCCAAGTCTGCACAGCACCCACAACCAGCAACCCCTGCAACCAAACTAAAACCAGCAACAAAACCAAAGCCACCGACTGACTCATCACCGACAACATATACCAGCAACCCAATACACCGACAACATATACCTGCGACCATACAGCACAAACACAGTACCCCACTGCCCAGTAATCGACTCACCAACGGAAAACAAAAAGAGGGCAACCAGTAAAGAAATCCAGTGACCAGAGCACTCCATTAAACCAAGCAACTCAATCACTGACCAAAGCACTCCACCGACTGCCTCTTCATTATACCAGCGACAGACCCACCCCATTAAAAATATACCAAACCAGCCCACTGTCCAACCAAAACCCATACAACCCACAACCCAACGAACCCAAAAATAGCAACCGCGACCCAGCCTACCCAGCCCACTGACCCAGCCCAAACCCCATACTGTCCAGACCAGCCCAGCCACCTAGCCTACTGCTGGGTCACTACTCAGCCCACTGTTGGGTCGGATTTTTTTTTTCATTGCAACTTCGTTGTTCGCACTCTTCGTCACAGTACTGTCAGGTTGCAGTATCTAGGACCGTTTTAAGAGGGGTTGAATCCTCTTCTCCGTTGATCTGCTCTTGATGCAATAGATCATTTATTTATATTTACTGGATTTCTGGGCATCGTGACCTAATTATTTGGGAGCTTTCTGGACCTTCTTTATCTATCGTCATTGTTCGACTGGAAGTATATTATTCTCCTTTATTTTATCCCTCTATTTATCTTAGAGTTATTTTTCTATCACGGGTACCCTAGCATTGTTGTTGATATGGCTACTATTGAGGACATCTCTGATGTTAGTACTTCCACCTGGAATGTACCTCTTGGTTCTCGTCAGTGTGATTATTGTGACCGACCAGGACATCTCAGGGCTACTTGTTAAAACACTATCCGGAGTTTAAGCCACCTCCCACCCGGAATGTACCTCCTGGTTCTCGTCAGTGTGATTATTGTGGCCGACCAGGACATCTCAGGGCTACTTGCTAGAAGCTCTATCCGGAGCTTAAGCCACCTCCTCGCCGCCATACTGCTGCTACTATTGTTGAGGTACCACCACCTACTACTGTTGCTCCTCCTTGGCAGAGTGATATGGATGCTATCACTTCCTAATTGGATATACTTATGTCCGCCCTGACTTCTCAGGGTCTGGCTATTGCTACTGCCACCACTACAAGTATACCTCGTATTTTTCATGCTTGCGCCAGTCCGTCTCCCCTTTGGATGTTGGACTCGGGTGCGAATGGTCATATGACAGGTGAGGCCCATCACTTCACCACTGTTGACGAGCAGTTATATATACAGATTCAGCTAACAGATGGGACACATGCCCCTATTGTTAGTAGTGGTACAGTCCACCTCCTAGATGGCTTTACAGTACATTCAATTTTTTATGCGTCAAAGCTGGTGATGAATCTATTATCCGTACATCAATTAGCCAGAGATTGTCACTGTGCGATGGTGTTTTTATCTGATTCATATTATTTACAGGACCCGAGTACTAAGAGGATTATTATCAAGGGACATGAAAGAGATGGACTATATTATCTAAGTGATCCACCTTCAGTTTCACCAATTCATCCATCTTCATCACTTGCACCTGCACCTGCACCTGCTTTTTCTTTATCTATTTCTAGCTTGCATGCTAGTATTTTGCCTAATACATTTCGTTATGATTTTTCATCACAAACTGTTCAGTTGTCGCATGACTGTCTTGGGCATACAAATTTTAAATATTTATGTATGTTATTTCCTACTTTGAGCAATGCTTGTGTTAGTGGTAAACTTGACTGTGTTATATGTTCTCTATCGAAACATGTTCGGACTAGTTATATTCCTCGCATGCACCAGTCACCCAAGCCATTTGATCTAATACACTCTAATATTTGATGACCATTTCCTATTACTGTTATGTCAGATGCTCGATACTATGTGACATTTATAGATGACCATACCTGTTGTACTTGAGTCTACCTTTTGCATAGGAAGTCTCATGTACTCTCTGTCATCACTCAGTTTCTCCAAATAATTAAGACACAATTAGATGTCATTGTTCGTGCTCTTCGTTCGAATAATATCAAAGAATATGTGTTTGATGACTTAGTATCTCACATTTCCTCTCAGGGTATCCTTCAACAGCTCACTTGTCCATATACTCCTGAGCAAAATAAAGTTGCTGAAACAAAAAATAAGAGTCTAATAGGGATGGTACGTTGTATGCTTAGAGGTATGGGGGTATCAAAATCTTATTGGCATTTTGTTGTTTTGACTTTTACCTTTTTGTGTAATCGTACATTGAGTCGTGTTCTTTAGCATAGGGCTCCCTTACAGGTCTTATTCCCTGAGCGAACACTTTATCCGATCCCCCCTCATATTTTTGGTTGCACATGTTTTGTTCAGGATCGGTCTCCTACTCGCCATAAACTTGATGATAAAGCAATTTGTTGTATCTTTGTAGGTTATTGTCATCAGTCTACAGGGTATCAGTGTTATGATCCTATTAGGTGTCATATGTATCACATTCTAGATGTTACCTTTCTTGAGCACATTTCTTATTTTTTTTCTAGTCCTGTGTCTGCCCCTTCAGTTAATGATACTTCCTTTGATGATACTCCCTTTGATTTTCCGTTACCACAAGAGTCAAAGTCATTAGTCATTATCACTATAGAGTCCTCAATCTCTCCTCCAGAGTCACTTGTCCCAGTCAGTACAGAGTCACCAGTCTCTCTTCCTTTGCAGGTTTATGTTCGTTGCCCTCACTCTCATCCCTGTTGATATCCCCTCTACCTCAGGCAATGCAGGTAATACTTCTCAGTTCGTTGAGCATATTGATGCACCTATTGTTAGTACCAATAAGATTGCAGGTATTGAGCCAGTTACTTTTCCTGATAAGACAATGTTAGTGGAGGATGATGATTTAGGGCGTCATTATCCACAGCATGATCGTCATCCAGTTGTTCGTTATGATTAGACTGTCAGGACTTTATATCCAATCTCTGCTTATGTTTCTTATGATAATCTATTTCCTATCTTTCGAGCTTATAGTATGGGTTTATCAGATACACCGGTTCCTCACTCTGTTTTAGAGGCTATGCGGGAGCCCTAGTGGGTTCTTGCCATGCAGATGGAGATGGACACTCTTCAGCGTAATCATACGTGAAATTTTGTCTCTTTACCTTCAGGGTTAAAGCCTGTTGGCTATCCATGGGTTTACACCCTAAAGTTTCTTGCGGATGGTACTATTGATCGTCACAAGGCCAGACTTGTGACGAAACGCTTTACTCAGGTACTAGGTCGTGACTTTGGTGCTACATTTGCGCCCATGGCAAAATTGACTACTGTTCGATTGATTATTTTTCTAGTTACGAAATACTTTTAGCCTCTTTATCAGTTAGATATGAAGAATGCATTTCTTCATGGTGATCTGGATGAGATTAGTTATATGGATGTACCATTGGATTTTCATGGTGAGGGGGAGTATGTGGGAAGGTGTGTCGACTTCGTAAGTGTCTCTATGGACTGAAATAGTTACCACGAGCCTAGTTCTCTCGGTTTAGTGATATAGTTGTACGTTTAGTGTTCGTCAGATGTCATTCAGATCATACATACTTTATTCGACGGAATACTTCTGGGTATTGCGTCATCCTTTTGGTTTATGTGGATGATATTATTATTATCGGAGATAATATTTTTGGGATTGCACAGGTCAAGGTAGACCTTGAAAAGGCCTTCGATATGAAAGACCTTGAATTTCTACGATACTTTCTTGAGATTGAGGTTGCCCGTAACAGCAGGGATATTATTTTTTCTCAGAGGAAGTATGTTGAGATGCAAACCGGCATCATCTCCCATGATTCCAAACCTAAAGCTTATTGTTGAAGGTGAGGAAATAAGTGATTCAACTATTTATCAGAGGTTGGTAGGTGACTTATCTAACTAGCCAACACTAGGCCAGACATTTCATTCGCTGTCAGCCGAGTTAGTCAGTTCATGCATAGGTCGTGTCAACCTCATCTTTATGCAATTTATCATATTTTTCGGTACCTCAAGTCTTGTCCTGAACTTGGGTTGTTCTATGCATCAGGATCTCAGACTAGTTCTCTATCCTGTTATTCAAATTTAGATTATAGAGGAGCGTGTGACGGTCGATCTACTACGGGCTTCTGTGCTTTTCGACGAACTCATCTTATCTCTTGGAAGAGCAAGAAACAATCAGTTGTCTCTCGCTCGTCAGCAGAGGCAGAGTATCGAGCACTAGCATTTGACATATGTGAGATTATCTAGCTACGATTGATTCTTGGTGAGTTGGGTTTTTCAGTTCATCTACATTTTATTGTGATAATCGATCTACTATTCTGCTCGCTTCTAACTCTGTATTACACGAGAGGATGAAACATATAGAGATCGATGTTCACTTTCTTTGGGAGAAAGTTAGTAGTAGTATTGTCATTCCATCGTTTGTGAGGACCAGTGATCAGGTTACAAATGTTTTCACTAAACCTGTCACTCTATCCATTCTTCGAGACTCCGCTGTCAAGTTTGGCTTAGTTGACATTTTTGCGCCTAACTTGAGGGGGAGTATTGGAATTATAGTAGCCTAGGTTATTAAAGTTTATTAGAGTTTTTTCCCTTTTTACATTTTTTTTTATCCTTATTGTGACTTTTATTGGCTATATATATGGGGGTTCTACACTTAGTTTGTATTCTTTTCACTTACATCTATCTCAAGTCAATAAAAAGAGGGTATCATGCTGCAGGGAAGGCAAAACAAAAGAAAGTTTTTGAAGTTAAGTCGTCTTCAAATAAGCCTCATCCTAAGTTATGGAATCTTATTTGGAACTTGAAAACTGCCCCAAAAATTAGACACTTCTGGTGGAAAGTATGTTCAGATGCTTTCGCCATACTGGAAAATCTCTTCAAGAGGAAATGTGTTGAATCGCCAGTATGCCAAATTTGTGAATCAAAGGTGGAAACTATAGATCAAGATTATCTGAATAGTGGGTTGTTTGAGTACATGGTACAAATACAGGTAAGCTATACGACAGTTTCTTAAACACGCGGTATGATAGGAGTAGGCTTTGCAGGTATATTATTTTGCATCACAATTCGTTTTAGCACTCTTATCGAGATTGTTTTCAATACTATACAACATTACATGCTATAAAACATTCATAAACACGCAGTCAGTTACCATTTATCTTATATTTATGCTTAATTTTATATTATCTAAAACAATATATAATTGTAAATTATATACGTGTAGTCAATTAATATGTATTTTAGATTTGCGTTTTATATTTGAATGCGAATTGATTTAGAGTTAGTATTATAATTTGGGGTCGTACATTTTGGTGATCTAGATTGCAAACTCACCTCGTTTGGGATCGGAATACCTAGAGCGTGGGTCGTCACAGGTTTAGTGAATTCTAGTAACTATGTTATAGAGCATATGCTTTTCAAGTGTGAGTGGACTCAGAGAATTTGATTTGCAATGGACCTGAACTATAGAGTGGACAGGGGAGTTTTGAATTCAGTAAAGAGTTGGACTTCAACTCACATGGAGAGCATGGATAATTTTGCTTCCTCTATTGACCTGATTAGTAGAGTAGCCATGGTGGGCTGGAATATATGGAAAGGGAGAAATGAAGCTATCTTCCAGCATGCCTCTCAAAATTCCTTAGGCACAGTTATTCGAGCCCAGAGAGCATGGGGGGAGTAAATGAGACTTTTCAATGACAAACAAGAACAGATGCAACCCCAGTGTGCAAGACATCGTAACCAGTTAGCCCAGGAACAGTGAATCATGTCCAGTTTAAGTTGAATTGCAATGGGGCATTTCATAAGGATAATATGGTGGCAGCAGTGGGTATTGATATGAGGGGTATGAAGGGTGATATGATTGAAGGTGTGGCTAAGAAAATTCCAGCAGTATCAAGCTTGTTTTCAGAAGCCTATGCTGTGAGAGAAGCATGTATGTTGATTGAAAAATGGAAGCTATGCTATGCTGTCGTTGAAAGTGATATAACAAGAATGTAATCTTCCTGAGCTCAAATGAAGGTGATTCACCCTGGGAGATTGACACCTTGATAGAAGATATTAGAGTTTTAAAAAGAAAGTGGCAGTTGCATTTCTGCTTTAAGCCTAGAGCCTGTAATAGGGCAGCTCACTGGGTTGCAGCAAAGGTGATGTCAAATTCAATCCCTTTGGATTGGGTTGGCTGCCTACCAGTTGAGTTAAAGGCTATTTTGGTTGATGATTGTTATATTTTAGATCCAGGTTAAAATAAACATAGTTATGTTTTGATCAAAAAAAAAACTTGCAATAATATGGGACATCGTCATCCCCATCAGTATCCGTGAATATGTCACTCTATGTCCACAGATGGGTCACCAGGGTGAGTAAAATGAATTGACCAAACCCCAGTAATATTTCTGGCACACAAAACACCTATGTTCATATATGTCCATTTTTTTTTTTTTTTTTGGGGGGGGGGGAGAGATAGAGAAAGATACTACCAGAAATATAAAACCAGTGGTTGCCAATACCACTTGTAGTAGCTCATCCCAGATCCCAGAAAGACCATCATCATCAGAACCACCAGAACCATCACCACTGCCGCCTGGAGGAGTTCTACCACCGCCTCCATCGTCATAGTATTCTTGTTTCTGGATTTGATTCCGCAATTCATCCTCTAGTGACTGTTCCTTCTTTAAACTTCCCATAGCTTTCTCAAGAGATTTCCAAGGAGAAGCCTAATAACAATTTACAGTCTAGTGAATTAAAATGCAGTTCCAGAAAAACATAAGCCTATAAGTTTCTTTAATGCCATTCCTCGTTCAGCCAAAAAAAATACAGAGTTCTGTATACATACAAATGGATTAAAAAGGTTTTAAAAGGTATTACTTGATGGGTTTAAGGTCAGGTGCCAATCCAACAGAACCTGTGCATTGGACAGATAACATGTGTGGTTGTGATCCATTTAACAAGCGGGTGATGTCAGTTGAATACAGCAACAAGATTATAGTGTGTCAACCTCAGGTTACACTCAAATTATCACACATGCCTGCTTGCCACTCTCATACAACAGAAGACAAACGTGGTTCGGAATTGAGAAAAAAGAGGGCAAAAAAGAGCCCGTAAACAAGAAACTTTTCTATTGGTCAAGTAGCTGAGTAGACAGCACTGGACTAGAAAGAAATCTTAATTGAAGTGAATCAAATGACTGGGATCAATTCACACGCAAGCCCATGAATTTACGAGCAAGTGGGGAAATATCATCCAACCTGCCCCCTTTTGTTGATGTTAGTTTGGAAACAAAAACACAAAAGGGTCTTAAAACAAGAAACTTCGTCAGTAGCTGAATAGGGCCCAACTGGGGCACATCAAATGACTGTATCATTTGCAGGCAAAGCTATGCATTTAGGCCAAAGTTGGAGGAGTTCCCCCCCCCCCCCCAAACAAAAAAGCATGCCATATCAAAATCCAAGCAAGTGTTTATTAAATCACAAATAGAAAGAAAGAATTTCCAAAGAGGAACTTACCTCATTGTCATTCTCAGACTTCTCTTTGCCACCATATGAACAAACAGATGGAGATCGACAGTATCTAGATGCAGCAGTAGTCAGTTTCAAGGATGTCTTGGGAAGTTTCGTGCACCGGTATAAAACCCGTACTTATTTTCAGGGAAGCCTTATGGAGTTTAATTGTAACACATGGCAAAGAAGGTGCATGCCATGAAGGACATATATTTGTGACACTGTAGGCAGGCAGGCAAGCTGTTCCTTGAATGCAGCTCATCTCATCAAAAAGCTCAGTCTCTTGGTAAACCACACATTAAGCTCAAACACTCTAAGCTTTTGGCCTTCAGATATAACTGTGCAACAAATAACATTGAGAGAACATTTTGAGGTTTGAAATAAAACAAGGATATGAAGAGCAATAAACCCACACCATTGTCTGTAATCAAATAACATAGTCAAATATGGAGAATTCAATTTGCCAAGAAGGTCAAGGGGATTTCAAACTGTAAAATGATGCTTGGAAGTACATCCAGTTCCACCCAAAGGGCATAAGTGATAAACTCAGAAATAAGGGTGATTGGATTCTGTCATGTGGATGACCAAAAAAAAAGGATTCTGTCATGTGGGAATCAGAACATGTTGAGACAAAGGTACTTGACGATAAGGACAAATCCAAAGAATTGTCTTACCAAGTTATTACGAGAGTTACCTTAACCACCTCATTTAAATGATTCAAAACTAAACCAGCATAGTCTGCACCTAGAAACTAAGGACATAGAGAGGTCCACAACTGATATTTGAGGAGGTATATCCTTTTTGACAAACTTTTACAGCTGCCAAGCAGCACACCAGAAAACGAAAAAACAAAAAACTTAACCAGAACAAATCAGTTCAAAATTAATAACATATAATACATATGTGAAGCACAGGGTGAAAGCCAATAAATACAAAGAGAGAACCATAAAATTCTATAAACGAGAAGAAGGAAACAGAATATAAAAAAACTTGGTAGATCAATTTAAAATAAAGTAGACATTCTATTTTTCCGGAGAATATACGTGAAACATATATTTTGTGAAACAAGAGAATGGAGACTGGAGTAGACAAAAGGTGCAAGGTGCCCCACTTTGAAAGGAAGGATCTCACATTCTTATTGCCTAGGTGGACAGAAAATAAAGGATGGCAGCCTCACAGCAGGCTCTCACCCAGGGTTTCTGTTCTGTAAAATAAGATTAGAAGAGTTTTCACTATCACACTTTTTTTTTTTTTTTTTTTGATCAAAACTATCACACTTTAAGGTTCATAAGTTTCTGCTCTTCTCTAAGCTTTTAAGGTTAATATAATAGTCATATATAACAAGTGGATCCTATTAACAAATGAGCATTACAACTACTTCATGCATGCAAAAGTGAGCTGGACTATCCAAGAAAAAACAAGGGTTGCATTTGCCACAGCTTCTTAAAGTAAAGGCCTCACCTTAGGAACAGAAGTTATAAGATGAACTTTGCAGGATGAACTTTCAAAAACACCTGAATGCTCGGTGAACAAGAGTTTTGGAGTACTTATGAAATAAGATGTGCATCCAGGTATAAAAGTAGGTTTAGTGGCAAATATTTTAGTAGAGAAAAAAAAGTAATTACTTAGCAATTTTACCCTTCTTTTCAAACAAAGAACATAAAAAACAATACTACCCCTAACCTTTATATATAACTTTATTAATATATATTAATAAAATAAATGAATAATTCTTTTGGAAACTAAGGGTATCTAGATCTTTTTGAGCATCCAGTTAATTACTTGGTGTGTATAATCCACCCCATTGGAACCATGCACTGGTTAAATCTAGACTGAATTTTTTATGGGTGACCCCAATGTTACACAAATTCAAGCCATAATATTAACAAATTGTATGAACATAACAATAAACTACCACAATTAATTCAATTAATGGTTGGTGATAGTCTATTAAGCATGGTTATAGATACGAGACACGAATACAAAATGATACAGATACAACGATTTGGTAAAAAACCTTAAAAAATAGGATACAGATACGTTCTACATATATAATAATGTGTTATAAATTCATACTATTATCTAATTATTATTTTTCTAGTGATTTCTTTGATAGCAATTTTTTTTACTTTTGAATAAGCATAGATCATCTCATTACCATATACGCCTTGAGTGAAACATGGCCAAAAAAAGAACTAGAATCCAAATTTAAATAGTTGGTTTGCTTAGCAATACTATTTACCAAGAGATGAAGTGAATTGATCCATTTTTTGTCCTTTTGATATGTGACATTAGATATTTATGAACACCACCCGTCTCCAATACTATATGGATTTTTCTTTACATTTATCATAGTATTTGATTTCAAGAGGACAAAATAAAAATTGAAATTAGAAATTTGCACTTGTTGCTCCTTGTATCTATTTTTGTATCCGAAGCACATCCATCTTCAATATCATATCCAAGATGTGTCTAAAAATAAAGATATTTTAGTAACTATTGGATACATATAATATGCATATCCGATACGTATCAAAAAACAAAAAAAAAAAAAAATTGTTATTAACTATTAGATATGTGTAATGCGTAGCTAATACTAATACGTCGACCTCACCCAAGTATCCATGCTTCATGCGTAATCATAATCTGCCAACTCCTCAAGGGAGCAGCTCCTTTCCAGTTCCATAGGAATAGGAGGATCCTCCAGTCCTTCACAAGATGTTGACACTCATCACTTCTCATTTGTATGGCGATGCGAGCCGGTCCGATTATGACCCAAAACCATCAAGTCTAAATTTATAACCAGTACTTTGTTGCAATTTTATACCATATTAGCGTGTCATGTTAAAATTACTAGCCTACATGTGCATGAACTTGCAAGAAACCAAATCTACGAGTTGGATGCGTATAAAATTATCAAAAGAAACGCCATGCAACAAAGGAATTGCTTCTTAGACAATCGAATTAGAGTGAAAGAGGAGTAAAATATATTTGAGAGCAAAAATCTATTTTCCATGTGTGAAACTTGCATTAAAGTTGATCAAAAAATAAGATTGTGTTTGGCTATAGCGGTCCTCATAGAAAGTCTATGAAGAGGAAGTCTTTGTAGGTTCTTCAACATATCCAAAAATTCAAAAATGAAAAGAACCAATACCAAAAAGGTCATTAAGAGAATCTAGTCCAATTATCTAATGCTTTTATGTTGTTATTATGGATAGTTTGGTCTCTAACACAGCTGAAAAGCTGCTTATATTCTTAATTTTGTTTAGCTTTATTTGTCTTATTTTGCTATAGGTTTTTGTGATTGAAGAATTCTATCCAAGTTGTTTTTTTCATTTATCCTAAAAAAGAGGTTGGCAAGAGTAATGATCACCAAAATAGAAGGTCCTGATAGTAGTCATGAATCCTCTAAATTAAAGGCTCTGGAAATGGTCATATTTTTCTTTGGTTTGTCGTGTAAATCTCAAACTACTATCACCAACATTTTGTCTTCAATACTTGCTAATAAATTGGTGTGACATGTCAACAATGTTTCAATAGAAAAGTTTCAACACCAATTTATCACAAATTTTTGTCAACAATTTATTTAAGAAAAAAAATAGTATTTCCACCTTAGTTGGAATGTAGAAAATGTTACACTGATATGTGAAGCACATTGCATTGCACAAACCTAACCTAAACATCTACATGCTTTTCCATTTAAAATCTAATGAGATGTTGTGGACATAAAACACAACTCCAAACTTCAAAAAAGATTCTCCAAAAAAGGCACAAGTACAGGATTCATATAATAGAATGAATTCTGCATAAGCCACTGAACATTGCACTGGGCATGTGTCTTTCTGTATACTTCCTTTTTCTCTTTCTATCATAATTTCCAGCCTGACACAAAACATACCTATGTCCCAGCAGGATCAATGCAGTAAACAGAAATATCAAATAAATTAATGGGTGAAGAATCCAACCAATATTCTCCAAAACTCATGAACTTTCTACTTTTTTTCGGAGTTACAACCATTAATGCCTCATTTTTGTTGCAATCGTTTCAATCTTTCCACCTTTAATATATGGATATTTAGCATAACATATACAAGTATACATCACAGTCATTAAACCCAAACCACACATCAACTAGGCAAAGGGATTGGGTCAATAGAGCACTTATTCGACCATTGGGTCAACTAGTTGAACCAGTCATACAATAAAAAATATAAAAACATATAAAAATAATTATGCTAAAAAAATGATATTTATATAAAAACTAATTTTTCCCACATTAAACTTTTGTGTAATCAAGGGAATTTTTTATTCAAAATTCAAAAATTATAAATTAAGTTGGGGGGCATTCGACCTTACCCCCTAGTTGACTAAATTACAAAGCTAAAACAACTTTTAAGATTTGAAATTGCTAATTGTGAGGAAAGAATCATGCACTAATAGAGGAAAGTTTTTTTTTTTTTTTCCAAATTTCTCCCTTGGCATGATTGATGAGTAAATATTGGTTTAAACGATTATACCATATTAACATTATCACGTGGTGTAACTGTACAGTGATAAACAAACAAGTGAACTCCACCTTTTTAATATGTGGTTGTCACTATCTTATATGGAAGGGTGGTTATTTGAAGGAGCGGGGTCCTTTTGCCCTAATTGTTGAGTTATTATTGCACGGTTGCACGACGCGGTAATGCTGACATGCTGTAACCATTACACCCAATATTTTACTTGTGATTGAGGAAGAAGATTCAAGATTTAAAACATCCACATAGTCAGCCTTAAAACTTACTTGCACACATAAGATTTTAAGACCCACTAACTTCCAGTTATAAGGGGAATATTAACTCCCCAAATTCGCTACAACAAGCATATATTTTTGCCAAAATTCCTTGTTGAGCTTAGTAGGATACTATCGTTAAAAAACCCTAGAATTTTGCATGTGATAATGGCTTCAAAAAACAAAAAATTTCCCTGATCTGTGATATAAACGTCAATACAAAGCATCCTAGAAATTATAATCACAATTTATTTCCTTATCTATTTCCCTGCTAACGAGAAAATGGAAAGCATTTATACTGAAACCAAAAGAGAATATTGAAAGAAGGCTGAGCGAGAGCCCCACAAGAAATCGATGTAAAGAGAGAGATAGAGAGTGAGAGAAACAGTGATCTGACTTGAATGGAAAAACTAATAAGAAATATGCTAAAAAATTATGATAATTACAAAAACATGTTTAATATATTTTAGATCAAACAAAAACCCAAAAATTATTCAATATCTGCACATACTTTAACCAGTTAAATCTATGGCATTGGCAAATAATGATACATTACAGACCAAAATAAAATTTACATCCAAATTTCCACCAATGATTTCTGGGCATGAACAAACTAGACACTTACTTTCTAGCAAAGTTACATTTGGACCCAAGCATCACATCAAAAAGCTACCAGGCAAAGAACAAACCCACAATTTATAAACTACAAGCCACACAAATCTCAATGACAACAAAGTAAAGCATATCATAAATTTTATATGAACTACGTTGCATGAGAATATGAATGTTCCCAAACTTAACAAGTTAGAAGACTAAAAATTTTCAGTTATGCACTGCATATATCTGAAAATTTTGGCACAAGGGTGCTTGTTAAATGTGGGTTGTTAGCTTGGGGTAGAAAAAGAATTAGACAAGAGCCACCAATAGGCCAAAATTTATACAATTTCATCATTGAAATAGCGGAGAGAGAGACGATG